AGCCAATAAAAAGTCTTGAATTGCATTATCCAATGATCCAGTTTTTAATATATATATATATATATATATATATATAACTGCAGACAGTGCACACTGTTTCGACCTATGTGGGTCTCATCAGTGCAGTGCAGAGTAAAAAGGTAAACAGTACATATAAACAGAGTAAAAAGGTAAACGAAACGATGAGCTCCCAGTAGAAGGATCCGCGGAGGATACAGTGCTTCTATGAAAATATTAAGTAAGTGTAAAACGATGAAACATGAAGTAAACTTCTAACTGTTCCAGCTTTAATGTGGCGACGTTTCTGTACATATATAACTGCATATATATAACGTTGTTATATATATATAACTGCGGACAGTACTGTTTCGGCCTTCTGGGCTTCATCAGTGCAATGCTGATGTTTGGATGGGGGAGAACGGATATGTATCTCCAAACGATCCCACACTTGTGGTATCGTCTTTTTTACCATATATATATATGGTAAAAAAGATAATACAAATAAGATCATATACAAATGATATTAACCATACACAAACTTAAACAAAAACGTTTTGAAGAAAGTCTTAAAAGTATTAAAATACTTCTCAGGGTCTACTTTCGCGAGGAAGGGCAGTAAAGGAATTGATTACAGACATGGAGGTCACGTGATTTCAGGGAAAACGGAGAGGCATCAGTCATCAGCGACAGATCGACACACTATTGACAATTGACTGTCAATTAACTTCCGATGAGGAAGGATCACAACAATATCACAGAGCCTTATGGGGGGATAAGATAAACTGTATTGAGACACAGCCAAATTCCTCCAGCCCCCACCCCTCTCGCCAGGAGACACATAACAATTGGTCTCTAAGGGGGTAGAGGAGGGAGCGAAAACGTCGCCTGACGTGTGCTGATGCTGACGTGTCCTAAGGCTTTTGAGTAGGAATGTAGAACCGTTATATTGTGATTACATGTCTATTCGTCTATCACCTTCACTGTTTTCTTGGTAAGTTTTCCTTTGTTACTAACAGGACGCCTGACGGTGTAGTAACGTTCAAATGCTATTACGACCAGAGTAATGGATCCAGCCGCCGCCCCGACCCAGGCCATATTACCAGCGGAGAGTACTTTGCATAAAGCTGAGCCAATGGTCCCGTCCGGGGGGGTGAACGTTAAAATGTGATTCGGTGCTTGAAACACCGCGAACGTGATGTCTGCTAAGGCTAGGTTAACCAGCAGCCAATTAAATGGAGTCCTACGGAGTGAATATGACATACAGACGATGATATTCAAACAATACAAACAAAACTTCAAAGAAGTAAGACGCACAAACAAATGAGAAATGGGATCTGCTTATTCGTAAATAGGTGGTAAATTCTGGGGAAAAAATAATACATCAGTTGCGAAAAGTTGATGTCACTATTCGTCAAAAGTATATGCGGAAACCGATCCACACATCTAAATTTCTGCCACATGATTTTCCATGTGAAAGGCACTGATGATAAACATCTCACTGCGCATGCCTTTACGCTTGTTTCAAGTGCGAAGCTCACTTGAACATTACGTGACCTCGTTCCCAAGGCCAAATTTCTTCCTGTAGGTACTGTGAGGACTCTTGTAACGAAATCAAGCCTTAAACTAAAGGAAACCCAACTGTGCTGTGTATTCTATAACAGATACAACATGCCTCATATCTCGATTTCTCTTGACGACAAAACAGACCAGGCAGTTACCACTGATGTCCGCAATAATAAGTATGGCGAGTGCGGTTGTCACGGCAACATCAGATGACATGACGGAAGGCTGGCAACACTTTTTGTATGGAGGTTACTGTTTCTGAAAACTGAAAAAGAGGTTACCCATATTTGTTTGCGCGCCACGCTAAAAACAAACTAAATAGGGTTTATTCATACACGTAAAATTTAATATGTTTTCCTAATAAGGGCTGGTTTGTTCAGTTTGAAATTCACAAATTACACAAATTGTATACTGTTTCCGTTGAGAACACGCAAGTTACGACGACAACCACGAATCGTATAATATATTTAAGTCTTTTTTAGTCTTTGACTTACGATATAAAGAAATTCAAACTGAGACAAACCGAAGACAGACGTGGTCTTTTGCGACATAGAATTCAGAAAGCGATACTCATGAAACAACTGATTCAAAATAATTGAAACTTACATCTGTCGAGGATCCGCGGAAAGCTTACCAGTTTCACCTCGGCTGTACCTTATTACTTTCTTAGTTTAGGATGGCGCAATGCAACTTCATCTGAGAATTTCCGATAGAAAACTACAATATATTAGCAGTTCCTATCATTGCTCTAATCAAATGTCAATCATACTTAACAGAAGTTATTGAAGAAACTGCCAATAAGGAGCAACGCCTATTTTATCAATGAAACATTTCCTACTTAGTAAAGTGTACGGATTCGATCACGAACTCGATCTGACGTCACGTTATCCCAACAACACGTGCGTTTGCTCTGAAAGTCAACATGGTATTTAGAGGCCTTTCTACCGTGTTTTGAAATTGCAATTATATTAGCTTATTGTCACAGTACACTCCAAGCTTGATACCTGCAGCAAGTTTCTGTGAATTGAGACGTTTTACACTAAAGCCTTCGTGGTGATTTCCATCTAGGCCGCCCTTGGACTTATTGAAGAAGCATGTTCCATTTGCCGAGAATTGCCAATTAATGTGAAATTCCAAACAAACATGACATAAAGTATGTGCCATATAAGAGAATGTAAATTAAAAACTACGAGCTCATTTTTCTTTCATAATTGCCAAAACTGAAGTAAGTATTGTTCGGTAATGACAACGTCAACTCGCAGGTAAAGAGCAATAACTTTTATGAGACTCCGTGGATTTTAAAGCCGGTCACGTATAACGTTCTGAGGCAAAATTGCTAGGAAATTCATTTAATTGAACTTTGACGTGCCCCCCAAAATATTGATGTCGGAGACATGACTTTGATTGCTTATTCTAAAGCAATTTTTTCGAGTGCGTGCGTAAAAAAAGTTGAAAAAAGGGGTTTCATTAAATGAAGAAAGGAAAGGCAAAAAGTGCCAGCTTTAATTAATAAAATATTTGTGCTGCAGTTATTGTAGCTTGAATGCAAATATCATGTAGAGAATATTACCATATTGGAAAAGAAGTTAAACGTTAATCCAAATAAATGCCAAGTTGATAAAAATGAAATTCCCACCATTTTTGGTCTTTTTACTCTCGCTAGAACCAATTTCTATCAGTGATGGGCTCCAGCAGAGAGATAAAGATTATTAAAACAGATTATAAATGTCAAACTGAGACATTACTTTGACTCACAATTTTTGTGAGTGTATGCGTAAAAACGTTTGAAAAAAAAAGCTTTTTATTAAAAGAACAAAGGAAAAGGCAAAAAGTGCCAGCTTTAATTAATAAATTATTAGTGTTACAGCTATTGTCGCTTGAATGCAAATATCACCTAGAGAATATTAACATATTGGCAAAGAAGTTAAACGTTAATCCAAACAAATGCCAAAAGTTGATGAAAAATGAAATTTCCAGTTCTCATTTTTGGTCTTTTTGCGCTCTACGAACACAAATATAAAGATTATTGAGAAAGTAAACGTGAACAGCTTTCCCTCGTATATCAGTTTCAATATTTTGAAGGGAGAGTCATATCCTGGAAACGCTCAACGCAAATTGCAAAACATTGCTTTGGAAATAAATTACTGATTCACAGAATCTTCTGTTTGTTTATCCCTATAAAACACAATGGAAATAACATTGTATGGCCATAGAACTGATGAGCCCTCGCGCAAAAAGACGAAATTGTATAAAAGTAAAATCATGATCATAAACTTATTCCAAAACGTTTGTTTGGCGGTTTTGGATAATCTGAGAAAAAGTAATCAATTTTGTTCCCAAGGTACCTTGCCCGACTCTGGCACAAATTTAAGGCTTAAAAAAAAAAAAAAAAAAAACTTTCAAACCAGGATACCCAAGAAAATGAATTGGTGGCATCAAATGAATTACCAACCTGAACTGTCTCTATGTTGAAACTGCAACCCACAGTTGTTAGGATCTCACCTCATTCCTATTCTAAAAGATAACATTTTTCATTCAAAAATGAAATTAGCTATGTTCGCACTGGACAGCTGAAGTGTACTTGAAATCAATTTTTAGTGCTCTCGAGAGGCTGTCTGAATAAGTCTTGTTGCAACTGATTGGTTATACTTAGTTACCATGGAAACCTTGCTTTATTATGTTTGAGCCTAGGCATCCATCCAGTGAAAACGCGGGAAACTAGGGGACCAATCATTATTTATCGCCTGAGTGGAGGGGGGTCAGAGGGAAGGGGGAAAGGGGGCTGGAGGATTTCGGTTGCGGTTACATCACAATAACATTTACCTGATCCCACTTAAAGCTCTTTAGTATTCTGGTGATCCTTCTCAATGGCAATCTTTTTTCTTCAGTTAGTTCCCCGTTAAAACTCAGTGGGAGACAGCTGATCCTTCTTCTGTTCCTCCTGAAAACCATGTGATCTCCCCCAAAAAAACCTCTCCCATCCCCACCCCCATCACCAGGTGACAAATAATAACTGGTCTCCAATTATCAAACCTTTTGTTTTGGAACCACTAATGTCCATTTTGAATCCTGGAGGAGCCTGACACCGTATTGAAGAAGATATTGATACTATAAATGTGGGCCAAAAAGACATAAGTTAAAGTTTTTTCTCTTGTATACATAGATCTAGGAAGACAAAGAAGGGACCGAAGTTTTACAAGGAAAATTTAAAGTCAGATTATCGTGAAATCATTTCGTCTGAGAATCTAAAGTCACAAGTTGAACCAGATATCGATTTTGCAAAATATATTTCTTCAAGGATTTCATTCCTCTATTTCATGGGAGTGTTATGCAACGAAATGCCGAGACAGAAATGCCAGGGTGTTTTTTAGAAAAAAGAAAAATAAATTTAGGGAAATTCCAAATCAGCAAACGTGCCAAGTTTTCTTTCCTGAATTAGATAGCGAAAGATGTTCTCTTGGCATGTTTGCTTGCCAAGAAAATGTTTTGTCACTGAAATTGCTGTTTTCCAAAATAACCCGAAATAAACCTGGCGAGATATTTGTGAGGCGTTTTAAGACGTTTTTTTTTCCCTAATTTTCCCTAAATTAAATGTACGAGATCTGGCTGGGGACAATAAACTTACGTCAGCCTAGTTTCACTGTATTGCTTCTTTTCTCTCCAAAAACCGGCGGATTCTTTCATGTTCCTTCATGTCGATACAACGTTTCTTGTAGTCAATTTTTCCGCGTTTTTTTTCTATGTTGAAGGAGCTTCACTGTTCCTCTGTTCACGAGAAGTGAGGCATTCTTCGTGGACTGAAATTGGGAACAGAGAGGGCACATTCGTCAGTGCATTTGTCCTTGGGAAAGTCACGAAATCACCTTTAAAAAAAATATGTAATGAGTCACGAGGAAGATATAAACGGAAAAGAAACAAGCCTGTAATAAAAATTAAAATGATAAATGGTGGACGGCGATTTCTTGTAAATCAATAGATATTTGGTTTGCGTAGAGACGAAAACTGCAAATTGTAGATAGATTCACCCCCTAACATTTAGTCAATCAAAAACCTCTCTTTTGGTTACTGTCACATCGCAGTAAGAAGATATTGGTTTTTCTCCAATTGAATTTGTGAAATAGTTTTGTTTCTTTTGTTTGAAAGTCATGCACTCAATCTTTGATTAAACTTAAAATGTCTGTAGACGATAACGTCACACTTGATAACGACTCGTGCATTTTGCTTTTTTTTCCAAGTAACCTTGAACTGGAGTGGTGAAAAAAATATGGATTGACCGTTTGACGATGACCTCTCTTCTATCAAGCGGTATATGACGGTATCGTTTTGTAGACGGGATACTCAGAGTAACCAGCTCAGTGGTTACGCATTGCACCATGATTACAGTCTCCGTCAAGCAAATAACTGGATTTGCCCCACTGATTATAATAAATTTAAAGAACCACACCATGACCTTAGAACTCTATGGCTTTGTTCCTTTTCAATGTGCGGGCGGAATTGGCATTTAAATCAGCTAAGTTCTGAAAATTAATTACTATGGAAGATTAAAGTGCAAGTCCATCGCTCGCCAGAATGATGTCGAATAAACATCTAGTGTAGTCAAATAATTCAAAATATCTGTTTGTTTCAATCGCTTTGTTCAAGTACAAAATAAATCGATCATTTAATGAGTCTTTGACGAAGTACCTTTTTAACTTTAAAGTAGCGTCATTTTGTGTTTTAGTTAAAACGATGAGGTCAAGACTGAAAAGAAAAATCGCGTGTTTTTTCGCGTCGATGGAATCGATCTGTACAGGAAGGCGTTATGTCTCTAATGTACAAATACTGCGTTTCTTGTGCAACTGTGGACCTGTTAGGACTGTTGCTATTCATAGATCGAAAAATGAATATTCTGAAATCGTTCGTCCAATTGTTCAAAACATTTCGAAATGAAAACATTTGCTTCTCTATGACCGATAACAATTTTTCTGAGACGTGACTGGGCCAAAGTTGGTCACGCTAGTTCTTCTTCTCGGTACTGTCCAACAATGACAACTTTGATTACGTAAATCAACCTCCATTCATGAACCACTAACCGTATGAGCTCCAACATCTGCGAGCAAGAAAACTCTCACAACAAAATAATCCGCTCAAACCACTATGGCTGTGCGATCACCTGGTTGATTTTTTGATCATCTTATATAAAATCAAAAGTGGAATGGAAGTGTTTTCTGTAGTAGGATTAACAGGTAAAATTCAAAAGTAAGTCGAGCTTTAATAGATAACGGAAGCCGAGAAACCACCAATCTCTGCTCGTCAAAAGGCCCACACCTATGAGATCTTGATAATTTGCATTTACAAACACAACACAAGTAGCGTTTCGCACGTCGTGTTTTGTTTGGCTCTCTACAGTGCAGCTGTTTGTCTGTGCAGTACGATCTCTGCTCTCTAGCTTCGGAACTCTTTAAAATGGCTGATATCAAATTGAGCAAAGTCAAGGGAAAGCTGCAGGGATTGAAGGATAAAATCGAAAAGGCCGAAGATCATTACAATGAATGTAACGCCGAGCTTCGAGAGATAGAAGAAGCCTGTGACAAAAATGAAGGCGAGGCAGAGTCCTTCAAACGAAGAATTCGCCTCGTTCAAGATGAACTGACGAAAACTACGGAAGTTCTTTGCGAGAAGCAAGCTAGATTGGCCGAAATACAGGCAATTTCAAGCGAGCATGAAGTCGCCTGCAAAGAGCTGGAAGGGATAGACCGCGAGAGCGACGAAAAACTGACTGACATGGAAGAGAAGGTTCTTGCAGCCATGCAATTAGCAAAGGAATCCGATACACGTCTTCAAGAAGCGAAACAAAAATATAGAGTCACTGTGGCCGAAGTGGACAAGACAAAAGAGCGTGCCGAGACCCTAGAAGGAAAATGTCAGGAGTTGGAGAGCTCTATTTCTGACAACAGCTGCAAATTGAGGGACATGGAAGGTCGAGATGCTGAGTCTGCGGAAAAAGAACAAGAACTTCTAGAGAAGTTGGAGTTCTTAGAAGAACAGCTGAAAGAAGCAGTTGCCCGCGCAGAAGAAGCCGAACGCAAAGTGCAACCCCAAGAAGGCATCATCGACGACCTGACGCAAGAACACGACTCTTATGCGGACAAAATCAAAGATATCGAGCAAGAGATGAAGAAAATGGAAGACATGGTGGAAGCTTCAATAGATGATGTTGATGTGCAAGAGCCTAGAAAGGTAACAGATCGCTATCAAGTGCAGGAAGAGGGTGACCCAGAACCGACAGATCCCGAACTCGAACCACTGCCAGAACCCGACAGGTCCGACGAGGAAAGAGATGAAGACTAAAATAATCCCGTATTCGGGTTTTATGCGCTGTAACTGATCCGTAAGTTTGACAATGCGAACTCGTGAATACGACTAGTTTTATAAATGAACTAATTTGTTGCTTTAGGAGTGAAATTAGAATTTCACCTTTATCATAAGTAGTTTGTTTGAAATCTTAAAATTACTCTAGGAGCCTTTAAATCTTTATTTTACAACCAGTTGATTGCAATCTTAATTACATGGTTTTAATTTCAAGGTGGATACGACCAGCTCAGTGGGTGCTCTATCAACTTGGACGTTTCTTTTAATTGTCTGTCAATTCAATTAATTTAATTCATTACAACTAACTCCTTGAGTGAAGTGCTGACTTTAGAATAAACTTCTTTATTTGCATTGGATCGAAGTTTTCCGTTTTTTAACTCTCAGATCTGTGGCCATATTTTATACGCTGAGGGAAACAGGGACATAATTCTTGCGTGACAAGGAAAGATCGACGAAGCGATGCATGACACAGTCAGATACTTAAGATTTTCTGTTAGTAAACATGACGGACGCTAAGTACTTTTCACAACTATTTACGCAATCACTATGAATGCCGTTTCCCTCGTTTGCACAAGAGAATTCTTTCCATTCCTTCCACTTTCTGATTCCTCTTTTTGTTGCAGTGGTTGCGTTTATTTAAGCATAAAAGCTTTAAGGGCGTTGGTTGCAAAGCAATCCGTGGAATGTCTCTTATGACGAAGAGATTTCTCATCCGACCAAAAGGGTATTATAATGCAATCGTAGGTAACGGCTGCGACTTACCAACACACATTTAGTTCTGGATTGTAACCGACCAAGAAGTTTCTCTCGGGGCACTCAAAAATGCACGACTACTGCAACGAGTTAGAGAGTGAATGTAGTAGGTAAATGCGGTTGAGGCGTTTAATTGCCCAGTTGGCTTTTGATACATGCACGCCAGAGGACAAGAGAGTTGAATCTCATGTTGTGTCATTCGACCCCCAACCCCCCCAAAAAAGACTTCTTCAGTGCCCTACCACACCATCTTCCTCTCCCCCCCGCCCAGTAGTTTCTTCGCCCACGGAAAAATATGAGGCCTGGTGCAAAGCGAGCCCGCGAGTGATCTGCAAGGAGTCCAGCATTGATTACTAGTGCCAGACGCCCGGCATACTTCTCCCTGACATGTCTCAAATCTACCCGCGCGTCCTGGAGCACTAACAAGTTGTTGACTTAATATGCCTTTCGAAGTTACGTGTTTCGCTGGCCAGCTTACCTTAGAATTCAAACATTTTATGAATTTCAAAGCAGTTTGAGTCTCAGCTCAATAACCGATCGTGGGACGTAGTTGTGGAAAAAAAATTACTAAAATTTAGGTCCTCTTTTCATATACAAACAAACGACCTCTAGAACTTTTGTCTATAAAGCATGAAATATGATCAATAAGAAAACTGCGATATTTTCATTTCATCATTCAGGTTTTTTAGAAAGACCTAATGCGCATGCGTGTTGGGTGATACACTCTTTTCGAAAACAATGTTAACGTTTTTTGCTTAATTGTTGGCTTTTTATGAATAAAGCCGTAAAATTTGTTTGCTTTCTCTATTTGGTTTTGTATTTGTGACTTTCCATCGCAGCCTAGTGTAATGTAGAATGAAGGCAAAACACACACCATAAGGGTGACAGGCAAAGATAAACCACCTATTTAAAACAACCTGAGTTACGATATGTTGGGATCGCTGATCCCGCATACTAATGCCGTAGCGAATGGGAGATACCTAGCGGGCCTCCTGACGTGGAACGGCTTGGTGAAATCCGAAGGGTTAGCCACCCCCAGTTTTTTTTTTCTTGATCTATTACAAGATTATTTCAATCTCCGTAATAACAAATATTAATTGAAACCGCAAATATAATTGAGTTTTGCTGTCTTCTGTCGAGATTTTGTAGTTTGTGAAAATAATGCTCATACTTTGAAGTACACATTGGAGATCGGATATTTATCTCCAATAATTTACTAATATAAAACGTCATAAAAGTTGAATAAGCCTAATGAAGAAAATACTTGGTGATGGGAAGAGCAAAATTCGTGCAAAAAAATTGTATTTGGGCCGAATATAAAATGATGAATTTTAATTTTCTGGATTGACCTCTGATTTCAACACTTTTTTCGATCAAAAGCACGCCACAAAACAAACACAAGTCAAAACACTTGGTAGCAATTTTACTCTACTTTATATAAGTAAGGCTAGTTATATGAGGTATAAATATAAATTTGCTACAGAACCACAACTCAATTTTGACGACATTTTGGTGGAGAATGTGCACCGCGACAACAATTTCATGAGTTCACAAGTTTCGATCGTTAACTGAT